TTGCTAGTCCATATACTTAAGACCCGATGGAAACTTTGACATCCAACTTCTTTGGGTGAACTCGAAAAGTGGACCACGGTTACTCTCGACCCCAAAGATAACAAATATGTGTGGTTTCTTTTATGTGAGTTTCCTATGCACGACATTGGTTTAGTGATTATGGTATTTGCTTACCTTTCCTCGTTTTAACTTCAACTTTTTTTTTGTGCTTCATGTTGTCTCCTTCTATGATTTATCCTCATTCTAAGAATTACACTCATTCTTTTCAACATTTATGTGCTTACCTTCAAATAACACCTCAAGCCACAATGTTTTATGCCATTTTTTCTAATCACATGGGAGTTCCCATATAATAAACATGGATTGGTAAAATATTTCAACTATAAGAGAAAGACATTTCAACTCATTTTTTAAGTTTCAAGAAATGGAAAATAGGTTAAATCAAAGAAGGTAACTAAGTCGTTGAAATTTTTTTATAATTATTTAACAAATTAGAAACTCAAAATTTTGACTGTTTGATCTTTATTAAAATTCGAGATTATAACTGATTATAAACATTACGAGAAAAACCATTCATATGCATTTTTTTTATTTGATTTTCGTTTAATGTAAAAGTAGTATTTTTTTTTTACTAATAACAAATTATTCACTATACTAACAAAAAAAATCACTTGTGTGTTCTAGAGTGTCATTTTCTAGTCCACAAACAAATAAACAAACAAGAGATGATGAATTTGTAACTGCATTTTCCATTTATTCATCAGAAGAAGCAGGGTTACTAGATACGAAGAAAATAAGAAATAGTCCAAAGTTTTCAAAGAACCAATCTATGAGAGGAAAAGAGGAGAATATACCAAGGCAACCAAGTTATGGTAACCAGATATTTACTTAAATATATCTTATATTTTTGTGAAAAAAATATTATTGAGAAAATTACGTTAACCTTCCTTAAGTTTGTAAAAATGACAAGAGACATTTTTATAATTTTAAAATATGCACAAACTTTAGTGAGATTATCTCTCAAGTTGTTGACATAGTACTGCAGTAGTCAAATTTCATATTTAAGGTCAATTCAAATTGTTATGGTTGTAAGACCTAGATTATGACTTATT